GACAGCGAACGCTGCCCCTGTCCTTCTCAATGATTAGAACGTCTAGGAAGGTGGAGCTAGCAGACGCCTGATCATCATCATCACTATCCATCTTTCGAAGATGGCTCTTGGTGCCCCGGATGGTGAGGCCACCACATGAGAAACCGCCTGCTATGGTGTAGACCGGCTCCTTATCGGTGTCCGAACTACTAGTAGGCTGGGGAGTCTTGGACGACTGCCCCTTGTTGCTCTTAGTCCCTTTGGACTTAGAAATGTAGGACTTAAGCATCCCCTTATCAGCCAGACGGTCCAACGCCCGCTGTAGGCTAAATCAGTCGTTGGTGTCATGGCCAACTTCCTCATGGTACTGACAAAATTTGCTCTTGTTCCGTGACTAGACGAAATTCTTCATTGGATTCGACTTCTCAATGGTTAGCCAGTCCTTTATTTCCATGAGGATGGAGTTAGAGTCCTTGTTAAACTCGTACCTGGGGACGTACGGTTTAAACTCTTTTTTTTTCTTTTGAGACGGTTGGTCAAAATCACTAACCGCCCAGACTTCTTTTCTCTTTTTGCTCTCTTCCTTCTTTTTCGCCGGCTGAGCAGTCCGGTTTTCTTTTTGTTTGTCAGACTTTTTGGAGTATGACTGGCTACTAGGCGTGCAAAGGTTGATAGCTTGAATTTAGCATTCCGCCTCCCTCAAGGCCGCCTGAAGCGTGCATGCCCCTTTTCTGACAAGGTCAAACTTAAAGTTCGACCCGTCTCTCAGACCCTTGAAGAAGTCTGTGAATGCTACCTCGTCAGACAGCCCCTGGATTTAGATTCTGACCAGGTTGAACCGCCTGACGTATGAGCGTAGCCCTTCGCTCTCACCCTGCTTAACGGTGCTCAAATCAAGGCTCGTTTTCTTAGCAGAGATGTTCATTGAGAAGTTTGTAGAAAATAAGAAGGCTAGCTTCTTGAAGCAATTAATGGAACTGGCTGGCAGGTTGCCAAACCATTATTAGGCAATACCCTTTAATGTAGCCGGGAAGCATCGACACCAAGTGGCATCGTCCCACCCCTGTAAACACATGAGGTTGGTGTATGCCATCAGGTGGTCTTCTAGGTTGGAGGTACCATCGTAAGTAGGGTTGTGCAAAAATCGGTCCAGACTGTAATTTGGACCTGAACCGGACTGGACCTGGATCAGCCCAGACCGAACCTGCTGATTCAAGTCCGGTCTTCGGTCCAAGGAAAAAGTGGATTCCGGGTTTCAGGTCCGGTCCGGTCTAAACCCGGAATAATCAGGTCTGGACTTGAAACCCGAATTTTAATAAAAAAAAAAAAAGCAATTTAATTATAAATTTTTTGGGAATTTTCTCACTTACTAACTTACCCATTATTACCCTAACCCTAATATTTCCAAACTCAAACAACTTCTCTCCACTCTCACGCAGTCACACACTGTAACACATACACCCTCACACTGTAACACATAATCCATTTAATCCGGCGACTTTGAGCATCTCCGATTCACCGTGTGCCGCCGCTTCGACATCGGAACTCTGAAAGTCGAGTTAAAGGTATGTATTGAATTGTTGGACTTTAAATCTCGTTGTTGACATCTATTGTGTTCAATTACTTTTTGCATTGCAATTTTACAAGTTAAATATACAAAGTACCTATTAAACGGCCCATTAATGGTGAATTCAAAGAAGAAATACATGGATTTTTCATTATTAAGGCTCGAATTGTTTTTGTTTGCTGCTAATTCTTCAATTGGTTAAGTAAATAATACAAAGCATCATACAATTATCATCTTTGCATTAAAATATATTAGATATGAGGATATGATTATATAATAAGCTTTGATATTTCTAAACGTGTAGTAAGACATGTTGACTTGTAATACTAATAAACCTTTGACTTGTAATTTATTTATAACTTAATATATATGCCTTCTTAACAGGTTGTTATTTAATTAATTTTTCAAGGGTAAAAACAACAAAATTGCTCAAACAGGTCTAAAAACCGGACCAAACCTGAAAATTCAGGCCCAGACAGGTCTAGACCTGACTTTTCAGGTCCGGTCCTCGGTCCTCAAAATTTCCATATTCAGGTCTTCAGGTCAAAGGGGTTCCGGTCCGGTTCGGTCACAGCCCTAATTGTAAGTACCTACCAACACATTCTTAACCTTGGTCAGCTGAGCTGCCTCGGTTATATTCCTGGTGATCACAGAGGGCTGTTCACCAAGTTTGAGCAGTCGGAGTTACCAGTCCAAAGGTTGGACACTGTTGATTGTCACCTGTCCCCCAAAGGGAAACGGCTGCATGTATGGAAAACCATATTGTCCGTATTGCGCCTGAGGTGCAAACGGGACAGATCCTATCATCATTTGAGGATCAGTGTTGACGGACTTGCCGCCTGTCCCACTCTCATGTATGGAGAGTGAGTTTCGCACAAAAGTTTGTTTTAAGCTGTCTGGAAAGCTCGAGGTGGAGGCTAACTCAGACAGTTGCTGGTGTCTCCTTCGCTCAAAGATCAATCGAGCGTCAGAAACAGTCTTTTTTGTGGCCCCCGGTTGTTCTTGCTGGGTGTGCCTATGAGGACCCTTAGGCATAAGGATCTTGGTCCAGTCAATTCTTGCGGTTTCCTTCTCCTTCTCCTTCTCCTTCTCCTTGGGATGAGGAGTAGGCTGCCTGTCCTTGACCGGCTTCTTCCTCCCAGAGGGAGGTGTCTTCTTAGCTGGTTGATCCTTGCTGGAGCTAGCCTTGTTTTTGCTGATCATCTCCTTGATTTCACCCTTGAAGGTGTTCATGAAAGTCATGAGCTCTTCCCGGGTGACCGGAGCTGATCCTCTGGCCTTCCGGGTTTCCCCTTCTGGCCTCCCAGTGGGTCGGGCTCGACCCGCCTGGTTTTCTTCACGTTCCAGCTGATCTTTGGAACGGGTGTATTTGGAGATAAATGAACCGTCTTTGGCCACATACGTCTCCACATCATCATCGTCATCATGGTCAGTGAAGACCTGTAGCTGACGTACCGGTGGAGGAACGGTTGAACTACCCGGTTTATTGACGGGTTGATAAATGCTTGTATTACCCGGTCGGGTAATAGATTGAGGATTTTTTGGATCATGAGGTGGTACAGACTCTTGAACCATCTTTGAGGTACTCTCCCCACAGATGGCGCCAAATGTTTTGGGTGTTTTTGTCCCTCGGGAGAGTTACGTCACAAAGTCTGGTCCGGCGTGAGCTGTACCTGCAAAATAACGGAGACTCTGGGTGATTGGAGCTCCGCCTCCGACGATCAAGTTAGTAACTAGAATAGGAGTAAAAAGGTGCAGAAATTTAGGTGGGTATCTGCTAGGATTCCAAGCTCGAGATGTCTCTTTCAAAGAGTAAATTGTGTAATAAATGGTAAAACGTGTCTCCAAAAGGAGGAAATCGCCCTATTTATAGGGTCCTCGGGAATTATGCCCCTGATTAGGTCATCAAGCCCTAATCATTTGTGGGCTGCGCCGCATTGCGGCTTTCTCGGGATATGGGCCATTAAGGCCGCCTTTTTTCCCATTTCTTTGGGATGACACGTGTCAAACAAGGGTTGGTCTAATTTTGACTAACCCTAAGGTGACACGTGTCACCTTCTTACTGGACCACGTGCCAGGGTAAAATTACCCCAAACAGGTTGGGTAAGAATTTTGGGTTTTTTCTTTAATTTTTTAAACAAATTGCTGAGTGACACGTGTTTATAATGAGCCCCACTAACGGATTCCATCCGAGAATCCGTTAGATGTTGGTGAAATCAATTTTTTTTTTTATTTTTTGTTGTGTTATATTAAAATTTGAGAATTTGGGGTGTTATAATCCATTTTTTGTAAAATTTGTGATGTTATTTCAAAAAAATCCTAAAAAACTTAGAAAAAAACCCACCACCCAATAGCCACCCCCCAAGTAAGCCACCGCCGCAAAACCCCAACCTTTTCCCTAGCCCCAGCAAAAACCGGTCGGCCGCCACCCTAAACCCCCGAAAACGGCCGGCCGGAACCCCCCTTTTACCAAAGCCACCCCAGAATTCACTCCTGACTTACATTCTACCCCCGAAACCACCATAAACCACCACAACCGCCACCCTTAAAACCATCACAGTCATCGAAAACCCTTGTCTAACCGTCGGAAACCCCCAAAACCTCCATCCCAGCACCGAAAAACACCACCCAACCTCCCTAACCACCTCAAAAGACGCTACCTTACCTCCCTAACCACCCCGAAATCTCTCTTTAACACCCTAAAAACACCGAAACCCTCGAAGATCCTCGGTTTCCCTGGTGGACAGGTGACGGCCGACCGTTTTCAGAGGTTAAGGAGGAAGGCCGGCCGGTTTTGGTGGTGGATGGAGTAAAGGCTAGGATTTAATTTCACAGTGGCTGGAGTTTTTTCTTTTTTTTTAATTTTTTTTTTTTGCTTTTTGTTTTTTGTATTTTTTTTAAAATGAAATGCACCAATTATGATTTGACACGTGGCATACTACCTACTAAAACTCGGTCACCAACAGGTCAAGGTTCATTAAAAGAAGAATATTTATGTTTTAAATACTAATTAATAGTCAAAGTTTAATGTATATTGGCTTAAAAAAAAGTTTAATTTATATTAGATTATTATAATTCGTGCAATAATCGTGCATTTGCACAGGATGAAACTAGTACTCCCTCCGTTTTTAAATACTTGCTCCACTTTCTTTTTCCGGCCGTTTTTAAATACTTGTTTCATTTCCTATTTTGGAAAGCTTTTACAATATTTAATTCATTTCTCATACTTAGTGGACCTAACATAATACTCTCTCTTCTCATATTCTTCCACTACTTTTGTTTTTTTTTTTTTATAATTTTTATTTTCTCAACTTCCCTCACTACCTCCATATTTTATTACTTTCTCTGATTTCTCCTAAAACTCCGCGCATGGAGAAATGGAGCAAGTATTTAAAAACGGAGAGAGTATAAAATAAAATAAAACACAACACACAAGACATTATGATACGGAGGGAGTATTAAAATAGAAATATCAAATACATGGACTATTGGAGCAAGCTCTTACGTGCACGAAGTTAAATATAATGAGTACATTGTTAATTATGTTACCACTACACAAAGTCCAAATCATTTGCAAAACCTAGTAATAAAACAACATATATATGTAGGCTAATTAAGATGTATTGATCAGTCAATCGTTTTGTTCGGTTGTTTGAGAATTTGTATGATGAGTAGTCCTTTTTGTATTAGGTAGAAAATGAGTAGCATGCTCACAATGGGACTTGACGCTCTTTTTAAACTTGTTCATGCTACTATTAACATATCCCCCATATTTGGCAACAACCTTGATTGACATTTTGAATGTGAGAAGGAAAGTAAGGAAGCCAAGAACACAAACGGAGATGCCCAACCATAAACTCTTTTCGACAGTAACCACAAACACACCGGTTGTGAATGTGAGCACGGTGAGATAGAAGGACAAACGAAGCAGGATTATAGAGATATCTAATACCTTGAGGGATCCGTGAATTTTGCCAATTCCCATCACCCAAAGGAGTAAGAACAGACAAAGCATTGAGCTGCACATTGCTACCGTGTTTGCCACTGAGAATATTATGAATGTTGGCTTTTGCAATAGGATAGGGAATCCGTCATCACCAAATCCACCTGGTACCTGAAATGCGACTGCAAAGGTTATGGTTGCCAACAAAGCTGCAACCACAGATAGAGCATTCGCCGACTCTTTCATTTCTGTCTTCCGGATACCATATGAGCTTCTAGCTAAGTAAACTGCCTTCGGTACTTTCTTTTTAATTAGCTCTATAATCTGTTGCATTTAATCAAAAATAAAAACATCTATAAGCTAAGCAACAACTTCATTATTCTTTACATGAATAACTAACTTAATTAACTAGAATTTGAAATCTTAGTGTTATACTAATTATAGTACGTATAATGCATATAAATTCAAACGAAATCTTAGTATTAAGTCCGTATAATGCATATAAACTCTTCACTTGAAGCTCCTCAACTTATTAGAACTATGATTTCAAATTCCACTAAATAAGACCTTATTAGATTTAATTTATTGGAATTCATTGGGTTTTTTTTTTTTTTTTTTTTTTTTTCTATATTGTACCTAACTAATTGAAAGAATGAATCGAACTTGATTGAATTATGTTGCACATAATAGATCCAGAATGTACCTCGTATGGGACGTCATGCAATGCGAGTAAATCTGGAATTGTTTGACCCTCTTTATTCACCAATCCAAGCTCTCTTTGTTCATCATCTTCTAGACACTTGTCAGTTAACACAATTGCAGCAATAGAATTCTTATTTATAATAGCATAATGGAGGGGTGTGTTTCCGTCAATATCTTGAACAAATCTCTGTGCATCTGCTTCAGGGATTTCAAATAACTGTTTCCCTGTTTTCTTAAAATTTCCATCCAAACTCTCATCAACATCTTCACCTGTAAATCGCAAGAGGTGCAAAAATGTCCGACCATTGGGGTCTTGGAGGTATGCTGATTGTGGACGATACTTGAGTATAGCTCGTGCAACCTGAACACGACCCAATCTTGATATACATATATGTTACAAGTAAGAACAAAAATCAATAACCTACCTAGCTACGTAGATAATTAATGAATACAATAAAACATTAAACTGAGCAATACAAAATGCTAATTGATCGAAGTTGAAAAGAAGAGGCCTAAGAGACATACCTATAGGAAGACCATTTTTGGCAAAAGAATGAAGTGCAGTGTCACCAAGGTTGCTAACACGAATATTAGCCTCGGTGTCACAATCGAATAAAGCCTCAGCAGCTTTCAAGTTGCCACTTTGTAAAGCCTCATGAATCGGGAAACAGCCCTTGTAATTTTTCATAGCCCATGGGGCGACATAAAAAGCTTTCTTGCTCTCATCGAGTAGAAAATTTTGGGATGCTTTTATTAGTAATTTCACTATTGATAGCCCACTCTTCCACTTAACAGCAAGATGAAGCGGCGTGTCTCCTTTATTTTCCGATTGCATGCTTAAAATTGGGTATCTTTCCAGAGCAATTTCAATGAATATAAATTTCTCTACTCGCTTGTTTTCTTTGCCATGTCGGAGGGCTATGTGTATTATATTGCTTCCGCCTGGTGTTTGACTACAAAAGTATGCTTCAGGAAGATTTGGTGGCCTACTTTCAGTATCATTTACGACTGTAACATCATCAACTATCATAGAATCAAATATTTTTATGTTTCCTTCTATTGCTGCTCGATAAAGCTCGTCATCCATCGCTTTGTCAATCAAATTTGTCTCTTTAACATAGCTTCTGCTAACCATTGATTGCAGCTCCTTCTGTTAAAGTATTCAAAAAGGGAAATGAGATGCATTTAGTTACCCAAACTCACCCTTTTTATTTTAGTGACAACAGAGGAAATAGGAAATAGGAAATTCACTCTTGAAAAATATATAAATGGACACAACCAAGCCAATTTTCAAACAATTATGAAGCAAAAATTAAAGGATTAGAGAGCAGAAGGGGTACACACCATGGCAAGTATATGCGCTTGTGAAGAGACTAGTTCAAAAACCAAGTGACCATCATTGTTGACAATAATCAGTTCTCGTCTGTTCTCCGATTGGAGACATTTTTCCATGAGAAATTTTGATTTGGTAAAATCACCTTCAATGATGGCTAGATGCAACGGTGTGTTTCCATCTTCATTTTGTGCAATTCGAAGCTCATCAACACCGGGACGTTTGAAAAATTCGTTCCACACCGGCAGTATATCTTTTACTTGATCAACAAGATCTACAACCAAAGCCCTTAAATGGTGCAAAACTGTTCTACCTTTATTATCTGGAATCTCAACTGAACGAGGGCATTGTTGGATAAGAAGCATAGCCATTCCAAGCCGACCATATTGCAGTGCTCTTAATACCGGAGTGAAGCCCTCAGAATCTTGAATATAGACAAGCGATTGCATCTGTTTTGTCAAATTCTCTAGGTAATTTTTTGCTGCAGTGTTATATAGCATAGCAAAATAAGTACAAACTGTAGTGGAAGATAAATGTTATAGATAGGACCAATTCAACCAAAAGCTTAAGCTGATGGTTGAGGCCCAGGAATATGTTTTATACTCTATCAATAAAGAATCCCGAATAGAATTAAAATAAAAACTGACCTGTTTCAGTGGCATATTTGACCATGACATGAAAAACAGTCTCACCATGGTCATTCACATCCTTAATGTCTTTATCAATTAGAAAATCTGAAAATATAACTTTGTAGCTACACACGCGTGCAGCTTCATGAAGGTATGTATTTCCTTTGGAATTTCTCACCGTCCATGGCGCAGGGTAATTTTTACTTTTAAAAGATGGAGACGTCTTCCAACGATGGAGACAAAGTTGTAAGAAAGTTAAGGTCGATGGTTCATCTGTTTGAAGGCTAACAGCAAGATGCAAAGGCGTGTCTCCTTTGTAGTCATTCCCGTAGATAAGCCTAAAATACATATCATCATTGAGTAGAAACTCGATGAGGGGTAATTGATGATGCCGGAGGGCTAAGTGAAGGACATTACTTCCGTCATTTGATTGAGATAACAATACTGAAGAACCACTTTCACGCTCAATATAATCCACTATTGAATGAAGAATGCTTCAACTTTTCTGTTTTACTTTGTCCGAGTCTTAAGGGTTAGTTAGTGTTTTGAATAAATCAGTAGCAAGTTGTTATTTCTTCCACTTTTCTAGCTTAAGTTGTTTTCATGTAAGCCTATATAAAGGCACAAATATTGATCAATTGATGTAGCAATATTAAGAGCATATTATCAGATTTTCCTTTTGCTTTCTTAATTTAATTTACTCTGTTTTAATTCCCTCTATTTTATCAACAAATTCTGGTATCAGAGCCAGACTGTTTTCCTCAACCAAGCTCCAAAAAAAAAAAAAAATCAAAAAAAAAAAAATCGGCTCTAATCCCTCTCTTCTCTCACGTAACCTCACCACTCAATCAAACAAGCTTCTACTATGTCTAACAACGGCCTAAACCCTTCTGCACAACCTCTCATTCCAATCTTCAAAGGCGAAAAATATCACCTTTGGAGTATCAAAATGCAAACCATGTTCAAGTCTCAAGAATTATGGGACATTGTTGAAGGAGGTTACACCGAAGCATCAGGAGAACCTGATCAACGATTGCGTGACAATCGTAAAAAGGATGCCAAAGCCCTATTTCTTATCCAATCTGCAGTGGATGATGACATATTCCCTCGCATATCGTCTGCCAAGACAGCCAAAGAAGCGTGGGAGATCATACGACACGAGTACTTTGGCGATAAGAAGGTAATCTCTGTTAAATTGCAAGCATTACGTTCTGAATTTGATGGTTTGCAGAAGACCAAGAAGGAGTCTATGCAACAATACCTATCGAAGGTATCAGGTATTGTTAATCAGATGAAATCATATGGTGAGCTTTTGAGCAACGAGAGAGTTGTAAGCAAAGTGTTGCGCAGCCTGGATCCTGAGTTCAATGGGGTCGTTATTGCAATTGAGGAATCGAAAGATCTCTCAACTTACACATTCGACGAATTAATGTGTTCCTTGCTAGCTCATGAATCCAGGTTCAAGAAAGACAAGGAGAAAGGTGAAGAAAAGGCTCTACAAGTGAGAGGTGAGCCTTTCGTAAAGGGAAAAGGTGAAGCATCAAATAACAGAGGAGGCAGAGGTGGTTTTCGAGGAGCCTTTCGCGGTAGAGGTCGCGGTCGAAGGCACAATGGAGGATTCAATCAACACTCCAGAAGCAATATTCAGTGCAATTACTGCAAGAAAAATGGTCACACTGAGACCAACTGTTGGAGCAAGCAACGAGGAGAATCGAAGGCAAATTTCTCCGAGGCACCACAAGAGGAAAGCAATCTGTTTTTGGCCCATTCAAAGCTTGAACCGATGGAGCATGGAATCTGGTTCGTGGACAGTGGATGCTCTAATCATATGTCAGGAGAAAGGAAATGGTTCAAGTCAATCGATAACACAAAGCAGTCAGTTGTGCGACTCGGCAATGACAAGCAAGTTAAGGTGGAAGGTAGAGGCATAGTGGCAATTCCAACTTGTAATGGCGGGACGAAACTCATCCATGATGTTCAGTATGTACCTTCTCTTACTCACAACTTATTGAGTGTTGGTCAATTAATTAAGGGTGGATATTCTGTAATTTTTGAAAATGGCCATTGTGATATTCATGACCAAAATCGCAAAATTATGAGCATTAAAATGACCCCAAACAAAATGTTTCCCTTAAATATTTCACATAGTGAAACCAGTAATGCCCTCATTGCAAAGGGAAATAGTGAATCAAGTTTGTGGCACTTGAGATACGGTCATCTGAATATTAATGGCTTACGGTTGTTAGGCAAGAAACAAATGGTTCTTGGCTTGCCTACAATCGAGCCTATTGAGTTTTGTGAAGGATGTGTGTTTGGCAAACAAAGCAGGCCAGCCTTTCCAAGTGGGGAATCATGGAGAGCCTCAACTTGTTTAGAGCTAGTTCATGCGGATTTATGTGGACCAATGTCAATTGATTCACTAGGTGGGAGTCGCTATTTCCTACTGTTTGTTGATGATTTTAGCCGCATGAATTGGGTCTATTTCCTGAAGAAAAAAATCTGAAGCATTCGAGCACTTCAAGAAGTTCAAGGCATTTGTGGAGAAACAAAGTGATTGTCACATTAAAACCCTTCGCACTGATCGTGGAGGAGAGTTTGTTTCAGAAGAATTTAATCAATTTTGTGAAGAAAATGGCATTCACAGAGAGCTCACTGCCCCTTATACGCCCCAGCAAAATGGCGTTGCCGAGAGGAAGAATCGCACAATTGTTGAAATGGGAAGAAGTATGCTAAACGCAAGAAACGTTCCAAAGGAATTTTGGGCTGAAGCCGTGGCTACTGCAGTCTATATTCTCAATATTTCTCCTACCAAAGCAGTCTATGATCAAACACCATATGAGGCATGGAAAGGTCGCAAGCCCAAGGTGAGTCACTTACGCATTTTTGGTTGTATAGCTTATGCTCTAGTCAATTCTCGTTCAAAACTTGATGAGAAATCACAAAAATATATCTTTGTTGGCTATAGCACCCAATCTAAGGCATATAAGCTATATAATCCTGTAAGTGGCAAAGTAATTATAAGCAGGAATGTCAAGTTTAATGAAGAGGCTAGTTGGGAAGATGCGAAAGATAGTGCTCAATCACCTAATTCTCTCTTGACTAATGAAGAAGAAGAGACTGCACATGAAATGCCTCAACCAAATAACAATGAGGTTCACAAACCTCCTATATCACCAACCAGAAGTGCGTCCTCAACACCAAGCAGTGAGAGAAGCAGCTCATCAGATCAGTCCAGCTCATCATCAGACACACCACCACGAAAAATGAAGTCTTTAAGCGAAGTATATGAATCATGTTCGTTTGCCTTGTATGTGTCTGAACCAACCTGTTATGAAGAAGCAGTGGAGAATGAGCAATGGGAGGAGGCAATGCTAGAAGAACTTACTGCAATTGAGCGCAATCACACATGGGAATTGGTTGATCCTCCTTACGGTAAAACTCCAATTGGACTCAAATGGGTTTACAAGGTGAAACATAATGCTGATGGTAGTGTTCAAAAATATAAGGCAAGGCTTGTTGCCAAAGGATATGCACAAAATCCGGGTATTGATTACGACGAAACATTCTCTCCTGTTGCACGCTTTGAAACAGTGAGAATGCTTTTGTCTTTAGCTGCCAAATTAAAACTTCCACTTTACCAGTTTGATGTCAAATCTGCGTTCTTGAATGGCAACTTGGAGGAGGAAGTTTTTGTGTCCCAACCTGAAGGTTTTGTGGTAAATGGGAAGGAGCATAAGGTGTACAAGCTGAAGAAAGCACTTTATGGCCTAAAACAAGCTCCAAGAGCTTGGTACAAGCGAATTGACTCATATTTTCTGCAAAATGGCTTTGTGCGTAGTGATAATGAACCAACCTTGTATGTGAAAGGGAGTAAGTTGTCTGATTTCCTGATTGTGTGCGTGTATGTGGATGATATAATCTATTTGGGATCATCACAAAATCTGATTGAAGAATTCAGGTCCTCAATGACAAAAGAGTTCGAGATGACGGACTTGGGGAAGCTAAAATATTTTCTTGGACTCGAGGTGAATCAAGCTGAAGATGGAGTGTTTATCTCGCAAAGGAAATATGCAAAGGACCTGCTGCATAGGTTCCATATGTACAATGCTAAGCCTGCTGCAACTCCTATGAATACGAGTGAGAAACTAAGGCATGATGATGGTACTGAAGCTGCGGATTCGAGTTATTATAGAAGCTTGGTAGGCGGATGAATTATCTAACTCACACTCGTCCTGACATCATGTACTCTGTAAGTGCTCTTTCTCGTTATATGCATGCTCCCACTATGCAACATCTTGGAGCTGCTAAGAGGGTGCTACGGTACATTAGAGGTACACTTGAGTATGGCATTTGGTATGCGCAAAATGCAGATTGCAAGCTGTTTGGGTTCAGTGACAGTGATTGGGCAGGCTGTGTTGATGATAGAAGAAGCACCTCAGGTCATACCTTCATCTTGGGGTCAGGAGCAATATCATGGAGCTCGAAGAAGCAGGATATAGTGGCACTCTCGTCGTCTGAAGCCGAGTATGTGGCTGTTACATCTGCAGCTTGTCAAATGGTTTGGTTGCGAAGACTGTTGAGTGAGGTTGGTTGTGAACAAAAACAAGCTACTGAGATTTTCTGTGATAACAAGGCAACAATTGCCATGACTAAGAACCCAGCGTATCATAGTCGAACCAAGCACATAGACATACGCTTTCACTACATCAGAAGTTTAGCTGCAAAGAAGGAAGTCGAGCTGAAATTTTGTGCAACAAACAATCAGACTGCAGACATACTCACGAAGGCTCTTTCTTTTGATAAGCACACTTACTTTAGGCAGAAGATGGGTGTGTGTAGCTTTGAAGCAAGGGGGTGTATTGAATGAAGAATGCTTCAACTTTTCTGTTTTACTTTGTCCGAGTCTTAAGGGTTAGTTAGTGTTTTGAATAAATCAGTAGCAAGTTGTTATTTCTTCCACTTTTCTAGCTTAAGTTGTTTTCATGTAAGCCTATATAAAGGCACAAATATTGATCAATTGATGTAGCAATATTAAGAGCATATTATCAGATTTTCCTTTTGCTTTCTTAATTTAATTTACTCTGTTTTAATTCCCTCTATTTTACCAACATCCACATCTCCTTTTGTTGCTGCCTCATAAAGATGGTCATCCATTGTGGTTAGCAGATGTCGAGTATCTGCTTGTTGTATTAGTTCCTTCTGCGAACAGAACAGAATAGAAAAGATGAAAAGCATTATTAGTAGTTGTAGAAAGAAATTTAGAAGTAAGCAATCGATAAAGTCGTACGATACATACAAGGTTTGGAGGAATGCCTGATCCACATGTAATCAAGTCTTTGAATGACTCCCCCTGGTTGTTGTTGAGGTCCATTAAGTGTTTTGTGTATGATCTATCGCCCACATCAAAATGAGTGAACAAAGAATCAGCAACCTTAAAGTTCTGATGCAAGACGGCAAGATGTAAAGGCGTGTTACCATCTTCATCTTTCGATAATACTAACAGTATAGATTCAGGATACTGTGTGCGATTACTTTCCCAATGTTGTAACAAGTTTTCCAACTCGTCCACCTTAGTTGAGGGTGAAGTACAAAGATGGTGCAACACATTTCTACCTTTGTAATCCATCATGTTTATTGATTTAGGACACCATTCACTAAATTTCCTAACTAGTATGCTCCGACCATAGTGTGCCGCTCTTATGACAGGGGTTAAGCCTTCTAAGTCACGTTTGTATGCAGCAGTTTTCGAATCCGGATTAAATATGTAGCCTACAAGTGAAGCATCACAAGTTATATTTTTTTCCTCGTACATGTATGTACCCTCTAGAGTTTTGTCATAACTTCTGAGGATCTTAACCCCTCAAAAAGTAAGTGAAAGAATAATGTGATCACTAAAAAGTAAGGTTATGTTTGTAATTTTTATACGTAAATCATGTCAAAAGGAGAGAAACGACTAATTAAAAACATCCCGAAAAGAGAAGTGGAACAACAATTAAAAAAACGGAGGAAGTATGTAATTAAAGAAGAGATGGAAACTGACCAGTATCCAATTGCGGCTCTGCGTATCTAGCAATTAAGTGATAAGCGGTCTCGCCATGATCATTAACGTCCAAAAGTGCTTCTACTGCTTCCGTTCTATACCTGCTGTTCAAGTGTTTAATATTTGCATGAAAGACACCCAAATTTTGGTTGCGTGCAGATTCATGAATCGGCATATGACCTCTCGAATATTTCATCCTCCATGGAGGAATTTGATGATCAGCTAGCCACTCATCATCCTCTTTCATGCCGTTCCATGTTCGGAAAGATATTGTCCACAATGAGTCTGCTTCAAGAAATGTAGTCCTAGCAGCAATGTGTAGTGGTGTGTCACCATTACAATCTCTTTGGTACATCAATTTCGGACATCTTTTAATCGCTTCCTTGAAAAACCTTCGGTAACTTCCTAAATTGCCGGCCGTAAAATTGTAAGCGGATTGAAGATGTAGGGGTATGTGAAGTATATTCTTTCCATCCACATCTTGACGAGAAAAAAAATCATCGTCGTCATCATCATCATCATCATCATTTGCTTGTTGTATAAACACACCCACATCTAAGTTTTTAGCTGTATTGTATAGTTGCTCATTCATTATTATTCCCCTAGTAGCTTCTTCCAACAGGTTCTTCTACAAATCATGTTTAATCACACTTGTTAGTTGTTACCGCAACTAAATATTATTGAGAAAGGGTTATATATATAACTTGCACTCATATTTAACAAAAGGAAATCATTTACTTCATTTTTAAATTCATGAAGGGTAGTTAGGACATTGGGATTAATCAACTAGTACTAGGATTTTTCAAACATAGGAAATACAAAGTAGGGCCGTTGAAACAATTTAAAAATCCGAAATAGAAAATCAAAATATCCAATCTAAAAGCACTAGTGACTGAAGTGAAAAATAGGTTTAAGGTCACTCGTTTTTTATTGTTACTTTGTGCCTTTAATTTTCTTTGTGGCCGGTCCCCTTTGTATAACCCATGATGGGTATTATATAAAATCCTATTTTTTGTAACCTAGCATATCCATTGTATTCAAGAATTCTTCAATGTCAATAAAATAAACTTCCCCTCTCCTGTATCTGTGGACAATATCTAATTTTGCTCTTCCCACTGTGAAGACTAAGAGCCCGTCTGTTTTGGGGTAAAGGGGTAAAACTGTAAAAGCTAGGATGGTAATAAATTTAGGTGTTCTGGGCCCGCCTGGATTGGATAGACTTTTTCAAGCCTATGACTATTCCTCAAAAAAATAAAAAAAATAAAAAAAATAAAATAAAATAAAAGATAATACATTATCCAACCCCACACTAAAGGTGATCAATGGGTGGGCCGGGCCGGGCCAAGCTTTGGGCCGGAAAACGTGTGCCCAAATCCGCCTAAACTAGCTGTGTCATACGGGCTTTTCAGGCCAATTTTCGGCCGGGCCAAAAAAACAACTTAAAATGCAAAAAGTCCATTTCTCAAACCCGTCCAAACTTTTTTAAAAATCGAGCCGGGCCAGAAAATTCTACCCAAATTCCACCCAAAATCAGGTCGGGCTCAGTGTGATCAGCTCTACCCCACACCTCTTACCCAGTTTATTTTTCATCCAACAAGGCAACCCTTTTCTACCTCCTTTCTCTCATTTTTTTTCTGCCAATAAATACCGACACTCATCTATGGCCCATGACTTTGTCTTTTGCTTCTTAATTTTTTTTTTAAAAAAAAGTCGCAATCTTTAGACAATTTTCAAGGGTGAGACTCAACTTTGAATATTAAAATACAAAATGAGTTGTTTTTTACCTCCAATGGTGATACCATATCCACTTCTCAATTTAGCAACTCATATGAAGTCTTAATTCTCAATGGTGAGACTCTCTAGAATATACAATTGTCACTTTCAATTTATGACCCATCAATAATTATAAGATTAAAAAAAATTTAAAAAAAAAAGTAAAACTTAAATAAATTACAAAAAATATAATAAAATATTGACAAGGGCCCACATTTTTGTCAAATGAGACTCAAAATTGAGTATCTAAATTTAGCAACTTTCTTTTTGAGTTGCTAAGTTTAGATACCGACTTATTGGTATACATTGTAAAAAATACTCTCTCTTTTCTAAAAATATCCACTTAAGTCTCACCATTGGAAATGGTCTTTTTTCAAACTCCATTAAAATCTACTCTTGTAAAAAGTTTCCTCCTAAATTAGTCCCCTAATAATGATTCCACCCATAAAATCAACCTCCTTAAATTTTCACCAAATTCTGACAAGGCCTAAGGAGTAAGGAAGTAATGAGTGAGGAAACAAGACTAAGGAGATGATAAGGTGTTTTCAATAATTGAGGGATTTTTAATGCGCAATAGTTAGGCATACGGTCGATCAATGAGGGCCCAAGCCAACCCAATGAACAACAAAAGTACCAATTGGGAGTTATGGAGTTATTGTGGGTGTTATTTAATGTGTTTGCACAAAATCACTCTAAACCTACATGGGGTACTTCATTATTAGGATATAGCCTTATGTTCTCACTTTAGTTCAACCAATTTCTGTTCAGTTTAATCGACTTCAATTCACTTTAGATTACTTCAGTTCAGATCAGCTGATTGCAGCTCAATCCTAATTACAATTCATTGCTGTTGATTTTAGTTGAATTATATTTAGTTCAATTCAGTCCAAAATAGTACATACTAATTACTCCTTTAAGATGCATGCACTAAAATTATGGTAGGGAAGGGTAGGATTTAGGTAGGATCAAGAGTTTATTGACATCTCTACTAATAACACTCAGTGCTTGCATAGATGCATATTATGAGCAAGGACAAGGAGTAATTGACTTATGTAAGTATATTATATTACTTGGAACATATTTTTTTAAAATATACGAAGTAGCTTTTATTATACGGCTATTTTATCAAATGCCCCTAAGTAATTTTTTTATTCACCATATACCCATAACAATTTTCAAATTCACGATATACACTTGAGTTTCACATAATTATCACCAAATACCCTTATTGACTAACGGCAGTTAACTCCGTTAGTCATTAAGGCTAACTACGCCACGTGGCGGCTTATGATTGGTTGCTTATTAAATAAGTAAATTAATTATATAATAAAAAAAATTTAAATTTTTTTTTAAAAAAAACTAATCCACCACAGCCCACAACCACCGCCACTGCCACCACCAGCCTACCCCCACGCCGCCACCACCAACCTGAAGCCCCACGACGGCGACCTTGCCCAGCTGCCCCGCACCGGCGACACAACCCAACCACCTTTCTCCCTCAAAAATCCACCATCTTCTCCCTCGAAAATCCCTCCCCTCTCCACCACCGGCGTCCAAACCTCCCTCTTTGTACAGGCGAACCTAAACCGCGTCTTCCCCTTCCATCTCCACCCCCTAAACCACCTCACTGAAGCCCCCAAAAAATAACCCCCCCAAAATCGAAACCCTAGATTTGATTTTTTAGGGTTTCGATTTTGGGGTTTTAGGGTTTCAGGGGTGGTATTTTTTGGCTAAGGTGACCGACGGCGACGTGAAGGATGAAATCTAGCTGCCGGTGACGGGTTTCGGGGAATGTTGGTTGCGAATTTGGGGTTTTGGAATCAGGGGTTGCGAATTTGGGAGTTTGGAATTGGGGGTTTCGGGGTGGTTGGTTGCCGGAGAAGGGGTTTTGGGTTAGGGAGGGGAAATGGAGGGAGAGGGGGCTGGGGGTAGGGGTTGGGGTGTCGAGGGTGGTGGGGCTGGCCTCGCCGGCGACCGGCGCCGCTTTCGGCTGGGAGCTGGCGGCCGCGGCCGGCGCCGTCTGACAGGGGCTGGTGGTGGGGAGGGGTGGGTCTTGGGGGTGGTGGGGGTATTTTTTTAATTTTTTTTAAGTTTTTTTTTTATATTTTAAAAGTATTTTTAATAATTAATTTATTTATATTACAACAACCAACTGCCACGTGGTGTATTAGTCATTAATGACTAACGGTGTTCACCGCCGTTAGTCATTAAGGGCATTTGGTGAATTTTTTTTAAACTCATGAGTATTTGGTGAATTTGAAAGTTTTGATGGGTATTTGGTGAATAAAAAAATTACTCAGGGGCATTTCATGAAATTTCCGTTTATTATATTTACAATTATATCCTCTGTGATTGGACATATTTAGAGTAACAGTTATTACTCTGTGAAAAATAAAGTGAAACAGGTTAACTGCAAAACAAAAAGGATGTTATGTTATTTTTTTTACTCGCTCGGTTGTATGAAAATAATGTGTATTGAGTGTTTTCTTTTGTTTAAACTGATGAAGAGAATAGTATAATAAATAACTATTAAATATATAAGAAAAAATATAGTAATGTGAAGTCTTGTGTGATTCGTGTTGATGAGTAGATTGTTACAATTTATACAAATATGTAACTGAAGATTGTATAAACGATATAAAACATGCATGGAAAAGCATATGAATAGTAACTGACCGAATTTTTGTGGTGTGGAAGGAATATAATTTATGTGTCAATTAACCCGATGTAATGGTCGGGTAAAAAAAAAAAAATTGTTTATGAATCAATTATAGTCTCGTAGACAATAACTAAAAGTACTTACAAGCAGGGGCGGACCCACCTTTAGTCATAGTGGGTCCGGTGACACAGTATTTTTTTAAAAAAATAAAATATCAAAGAGACCCCTTATTATAGGTGAAACGCTAAACATCGCCCGCAATTTACCATATAAAGCCCACAAATATGATATGGTTTGACCATTATGCCCTTTTTCTAAAATTGAAATAATCTCGGTGTAAAAAATGTGGAGCCGTACTGGCTCGCCGGGGGAGACCGGAGGGCAGGCCGGAGATGCGGGGGACGCCGGAGGTACGTCGTCGTCGACGGAAAACAAGGTAAGTCACCGTTAAAATTCACGGTTTACCGTCGGAGTGGCTCCGGCGCCTAGGGTGAACGCCCAAACCGTAGCCTGGACGTCCAAGCCAGACGCCTGAACCACCAGAGTGGCGTCCAGCCCAGACGCCCAGACCACCAGACTGGCGTCCTGGGCAGGCGCCACTCCACTGGGTGAGGCGGCCCTGCCAGGCGCCATTCCAGTGGCTGTGGCAGCCCTGGCAGACGCCACCCTTATAAATTAATTTATTTTTTTTTTCTTTTTTGATTTTGTTGTTGTTTTTTATTTAATTTTTTTAAAAAAAAAAATCGAAAATGATTTTTTAAAAAAATTCGAAATGGGTTTTTTTTAAATTAAATTTGAAAATTCGAAATAGGTTTTTTTAAAATTAAATTTGAAAATTCGAAATGGTATATTTTTAAATTTAGTTTGAAAATTCGAATTGGGTTTTTATAAAAATTAAGTTTGATTATATATAATTATGCTTTTTTTTGTGTTAATTCTGTGTAAATATAGAAATTAAATGTATTATCCGTTAAATGTATTTATTGTAATATATAATTGATGCAGGAATATGGTGGAGACGGAAATGATTACAGTGGGATATTTGGACATGATGGTCCATTCGAAGAAGCTCAACAGGCGATTGATTGGGCAAAACAGGTTGCAATTGCAGCTGGATTTTGCTTGGTAGTAGTAACTCATAAATCTCAACGGGATGGTAGAATGGATCGCATTTTGAGATGTGACCGTTATCGCAA